GTCAGTGTTTACCGAGTTGCTGCTCTGTCACGGGCTGGGGTCACAGACATGGAGAAGACGCTCCCTACTGTGAGAGCTTCAGTCTAGCAGGGAGAGGACAAATGACCGCAAGCGGCGGCATGCCGGGCTGGCTGGGGCCCTGGAGATCTCTTGGGGCCCCCGTCACTTTGATCCTCCTCCCTTATTTTCTCATTTGTCTCGAAACCTAGGGGCACAGAGAGTAGAATAAATTATATTTCAGAGTGCAGACACACAGTCGTGAGCTTTCAGTTCTTGCTTTATTTATTCCTTTTTCCGTCACCCCTGCTCCCTGGCCTCCCACACACTACTATTCCCACAGCTCCCCCAAGATCTTTATGCTAATGCATTTAATGTGTTCTTTGATTTGTATGCGTCCTTGTAAATTACAGAGTTCTATCTATGGAAGGCGTTCACATTTACATGCAGGGCACTGTGTTTTATTCGTGTCCTTCACCCAATCCTATGTCTTTAAGCTCCAGCCACACTGTGGTTGACAGGTAGTGTTAACACCACTGCCACATAGATACTGTACTCACCACTCTACTAACGCATTTTCCTTATTATGGACAGAGAGCCTATCCCCACTTCCTCGTAATTATAAGCCAGTGTTAAAGAGAATTTGCCCAAAGTTTCTCTAGTAAGCATGATGGCTTCTGTGGGGTGTTTATTTTGTTTTGTTTTGAGACAGGGTCTCGCTATGAAGTTCAGGCTGGCCTTGAGCTCACTTTGTAGCCCAGGCTGGTCTCAAACTCGCAACAATCCTCCTGCCTCAGCCTCCCAAGTGCTGGGATTACAGGTGTGCACCACCACGCCTGGTTTTCTGTAGGTTTTGGCATAAAGCCTTTATCAGGTTAAATAAGTTCTTTTTAAGGCTGAGGATGCAGCTCAATGGTAGAGAGCTTGCCTAGCATGTGTGAGGTCCTGTGTTCCACCCATAACACAATGGAAGGAAGGGAGGGAGGGAGGGAGGGAGGGAGAATGAAGGAAGGAAGGAACAGAGAAAATGAAGGAAGAAAAGAAGGGAGGGAAAAATTTATTTTCAGTGCCTGATTTTCTGAGGATTGTTGTCATCTACAATTGTCTGTGTCTTTGTTCCTTCTTCTAGTGATCTTGCCAAGTTTCAGCAAGGCTTTAACTGCCACCTGTATGACCATAATTCCCAAATTGATGCTTCTATCCAAGACTTCTATTCCAAATGCCAGACTCATATATCCACTACCTACCTGATATCTCTCTCCACTTCTAATTTTTTTTTTTTTTTGTCTTTTTGAGACAGAGTCTCACTATGCTATTCAGGCTGGCCTTGAGCTCACTTTGTAGCCCAGGCTGGTCTCGAACTTGCAACAATCCTCCTACCTTAGCCTCCTGAGTGCTGGAATTACAGGCGTGCGCCACCATACCCGGCCTTCCACTTCTAATTCAACAAGTTCCTGATTTCTATAATCAGGAACAAGTTCCTGATATCTCTAATTCAAATTCAACAAGTTCCTGATTTTCCCTCACAAAATCTATTCCCCCTCACATCTGAGAACGACTCCCCGGTTGCCAAAAGTCTGAATGTATTTCCCTCAATCTCAGGAACAAGGCAAATTTATTCACTCTTCCATCTGTTACTCAACATAGCACTGAAAGTCTTTGCCAGTACAATAAGGCAAGGAAAAGAAACACAGATTTGAAAAAGACATGCACATTGACAAGGAAAAACTCAAACTTATCATATGTGACATGGTTATTTCCATAGAAAATGCCAAGGAATCCCCACACATAAACACAAAATCCCTAGAACTAGCAAGTGAATTTAGCAAGGTCACAAGATACAAGGTGAAGGGGCTGGGGATTTAGCTCAATGGCAAAAGCGCCTGCCTGGCAAGCGCAAGGTCGTGAGTTCGGTTCCCGGTACCGGAGAAAAACCAAAAAAAAAAAAAAAAAAGAAAGATACAAGGTGAAAACATAAAAACCAATGGCATTTTCACATATGAACAATGAACAGTTCCAGCAACAATGCCATTTATATAATGCACCCCAAAAGTGAAGTACATAAACATGGATTTAACCAAGCATATCTAGGATCTATCTATATGCTGAAGACTACAGTGCATTGATAAAATTAAAGAATAAATGGAGGGAGATGCTGTGTTTGTGACTGGTAGACTTAATGCTGCAAAGATACAAAGTCTACCTCCTGTCTATAGATTTAATACATTTTCAGGAAGTGATGATAGAAGACAGGTCAAGGATGGCCAGGCTTAGTGTTATGGACTGCTTGATTTTGCATAGACAGCATGAGAGGCTGTACAACTGTTCTGGATCTTGATCATGGTGATGCTTGGATGGATCTATTCATGTATCAAACTTTAGAACGTGCATCTTTCACTTGGGAAAATGAAAGCCCCACTGCGGGGTGGGTTGGGGGTCTCCAGCAGTAATCTCATTGCTAATCCTAGAATCAGAAGCCCTGTTGTAACTGTGGGCAGATTGCTTCTTTCTGAGCCTTGCTCTTCTCAGCTGTAAGAGGGGGAAAAGCACTTTCTCTGTGCATCCCAGAGGCTCATTGTCAGGTATCCTAGTGAAAGTCTCCATACACTGTGCAGTGCAGTACGCAGGCCTGTTGGCCTGTGAGTTAAGTTCTTTACAGATATTTATATAAACTCCCAAAAACTAGTTTTCACTTTATTGAAATATGGGCAGAAAAGTGTCTATGTCATAGATTGACAGCTTGTTGGATTTTTCAACTGAAGCCCCCATTGTAAACAACACCCTGATCAATAAACACAGCACTGCATGCACCTCAGAAGCTCCCTGGGGTCTCCCTTTGTCTCCGTGCCTGAACCACACTGGAGCCTTCCACCTGTCCTCTACCACCCTTGTTAGTTTCTCTGCATGGCAAGGTAAGAGTTGCACTGTGTGCCCACTCCCCGGCTCAGCCTCACCTTTGAGAGAGTCCCCCAGGCTGCCACCTGCAGCTGTCCACTCATTGTCCTTGCCCTGAGCGCATACAGTGCATCTGCCCAGCTGCTGTCAGTGGTCACAGGTGTGATGCCACGACGCAGGGAGCTGATAGGGCCATTCCGCTGCAGTGAGTGCATGGGTCATAGGCATCCCTATGATGCTCAGCTTTGGCGGGTGCCCGTCAACACTCTGCCCACCGTGAGTGGATGCTCTGGTCCCTCCACAGCCCCTCCAGCACTTGGACTTTTCTGCACACCCAGAGGAGAGATTCAGGAGTGATTTTTCCCTCCCCTCTACTTCCCTCCTTGGAGTGCTGGCTTTCAACTGATGACAGTGTTCAGTGTGCCAAGCAGGAGGAGAACAAGGCAGATCAACAAGGCAGAGGCCCTGCCTTCCATGGTCCTTCGCTTCTTTCTCGTTTGATGGCGGATGCAGCAGGAAGGAATTCTGAAAACGGAAATACCTGCAGTGATTAAAGTGGCCTGAAGCTCAGAGTTAATGCACTAAAGGAGAGACCATTTAGAGGCTTCCTGAAAAGAAGTGGCTTTGGTTTTAAACCACTGTGGCTAACATTGTAGTGTATTAATGTCTTATAAGAATTTAATAATCCTAATTTTAGGATTTGCTATAGAAGCGCTTGGCAGCTAAAGTAGAATGGAAATTTTAGAAATCATGTAAACTCCCACTAGTTGGGGTTCAAAGCAGATGTTAGCTATAAAATGTTTTCTCTCAATTCCCAACCCACTGCCCACCCCCTCTTACCCCAGAGCCCTTGTCTTTAAGGTCAAACCACCTTTTCCTGGTGGCTTATATAGCACAACACCTTGCTGATGGGAAAATGTATGTCATTTCCTGTAACAAATGGAATCATCACCTGTATCTTGGTTTTGATTGAAGTAATACCTTGATTTACCAGTGAAACTCTTGCCCTTTAAAATCTCACGTTTTCCAATAACACTCATACACAACAGGCTTAGTGCATTTCTCAGCTGCCAAAGGGGCTGTTCCGCTGTTCCCTGTGATCGCCACAGGATGACCACAATTTAGAAACATTTTTAAGCCATTAATACCTGCTCATTTGAGAAAGCAACTTGGGGGGAAAAAACAACTTTTAAAAGAGGAAATAATCATTGATAATCCTACCCCCTAGGAAATTATAAAGGTGGGCTAAGGGTGTATTCAGAAGTATAGTGTTTACCTTGTATGCACAAGGCCCTGGGTGCAATTCTCAGCACCAGGGGAAAAAAAGGCAGAATATTTTAACAGACATACCATCAAAGAAGGTATACAGAGGGAAAACAAGCACATGAAAAGATCTCAACATCGTTATTTATTAGAGAAATCCAAGTTAAAACTGTGGGGCTGGGGCTGGGGATTTAGCTCAGCGGCAAAGCGCCTGCCTGGCAAGCGCAAGGTCGTGAGTTCGGTTCCTGGTACCGGAGAAAAACCAAAAAAAAACAAAACAAAAAAAAAAACTGTGGGGCTGGGGTCACCACTCAGTGGTAGAGTTCTTGCCTAGCCTGCTTGAGGCCCTGGGTTCAATTCCCAGTGTGTGTCGGGGGTGGGGGGAGTAAAGGTAAAATCTCAACACAGATGAAAATTTGCAAAATGCCGAAGACAAAAATAATCTGAATTATCTGCAACATTATCTCCCAGAAATAACCACCCTGGACCAGTCTTTGTTCCTACGTGTCTTCTTGCTGTTTTTAAATCGCTTACCAAAAAATGGAGCAAACATAGATGTCCTGAAGGGGTGAATGTCCCTATGAGAAACAATGATCTCTTTGCTTTGTCCCAGCCGTGTGGGACACAGTGCTCTAGGACAGTGCCCCTGAGAGTGTGGTCGGGGAGCTGGCAGCACCAGCGTGGCCTGAGCTCATGAGAGCCAGAGAACCAGAAGACCCCAGGAGTCCCAAAGCACTGTGCAGAAAGCCTGCCCTCTGGGGTGATGAATCGAAAGGGGTCTCCCTTGGGAAATGAAGTGGAACTCATTTATACTTACACAACTGTTTGTGTGATTTTGTTTCCAGAGAGAAGGCCCAACTAGCTTGGTACCTCAGTGTCTGTCCCCATGCCTGGCCTCTAATAGATGTTCAACAAATACTTGTTGAATGAATCAAGGATGAATACCTGCATGAAGAAGTGACCTCCAGAGATGCGCCCCATGTCTCTCTGTCTCTTTTTTTCCCCTCTCTGATGTCTAGGATTGGAACATCAATTAACGGCTGATCACTACCAGCCCACTTCCTCCCGCCCACGTCCATCACATCTCTGGGTTCCAGTGAAGAAGCAGGTCTTGGGGTGCACCATGATCTCACCATTCTTAGTACTGGCCATTGGTACCTGCCTTACCAACTCTTTAGTGCCAGGTAGGACTGGGGACACAGGTGGAGGGACGGGAAGACCTGGTGTAGGTGGGGTAGGACAAGGGCTGTGTGTAAGGTCACGGAACATCCCAAGCATTTAAGGACTGGCACCAGGATCCAGAGCAGGAAGTCTCAGCTCTGCTGTTGCATGTGCTGGCACTAGGCAGGTCACTCTTTTTCCCTTTGCATTGTCCTGTTACTTTGGCCGGGGTTGCTGGTCAACCTTTTATCTCTACTAACCTGAAAGATAGCGAATTCTACAGATTCCTTCAAGAACTGATGGGCAGTCTCCTCTTGGCCCTGTCTGCTCGCTCTCTTACATGTTAGCACATTGCTTGTGCTTGTAGTTCTTGCTTGAGAACTTGTCTTGAGTAGGAGCTTTCTGCTTCATTTTGTTTCTCTGTTGGAGACTCATGTGGAAGGGTTTGTACTGTATGGTCATGAATCTGATTCTTTCTGAGTCTTAGGCTCCGAGTAACCTAGACAAGTTCTTATGTTAATTTCTCCATTCCCACTTGTGCTATGAATTCAAATCCCTGCTTACACCTGGCTCAGATCTGAGTCCAGGTCACATTTCTCAGGATCTCTCTTTTTCCTGTCCCTTCCCTAACTCCCAGGCAAAACACTGTGACATCTGCTTGGCCTGGGCCTGCATCTGCTCTACCGGTCCCCAGGGTTCCTCTGCAACAGGCCGTTTACCCTTCTGGTTTTGCATTTCCTCTCAAATTCTGCCTCCTGGGGATTTCCCTCCCCTCTTTCTTTCTTTTTAAAGCTATGTGCTGTTGGGCGTTGTTTATATTTTTTGGCATTCTTGTAGCTGGAGTCAGAGAGGGGAGCCATCTTGGGTTCAATCTGTCCAGTGGCTGGAAATCCCCTCCTGCCCTCCCAGACCCTCAATTTCCCCATCCGTTAGAGGAGTTATCTCCTTCTTGGGGCTGGTAGAGAATTATATGGGACTATCACAGAGTCTGGCAGGGAGGGGACATTCAGTGAATGTTGACCTCTTCTCTTAGGAAGATGATATGTCAGATGCAGAGATGGAGGTGCAGAGAGAGAACTGACTCAGCCTTCAGTAGCTTGGCTGAGGCCGAGCCCGGAGCAGGGGAATTCCCTGGCAGTGCTCGCTCTGGGATCCTGTGATACCTTTTAGGGTGCGTCCTGGGAGACCCAAGGTCACTCTGGGACAGAGTCCCTGCTTTCTTGGCACTCGCCTGGCTAAAGGCTGAACTAGTGGATGAAAAAAGAGAAGATGAAAAAGAAAGAGATGAGAAAAAAATCTTCAAACATTCAGCAATTCAGTTTTTTCTACTGTATCTAGCCCTTTGGGCAGGTGTTTAGCTGTGCTGCATTGTGTTTTCTTGGGCTAGAGAGTTAGTTCACAGCTAGAGAGATTTCCTAGCATGCACAAAGCCCTGACTGAGGTCCATCCCCTGCACCACACAGGGAAAAAAAGTTAAACCTGTTACTGTGTTTTCTTTTGTTAGTTTTTAAAATGTATTCAGTGCTGGAGACTGGATCCAGGACCTTGTTGTGCTTGCTTGCTAGGCAAGCGCTCTACCACGGAGCCAAATTCCTGACTCCTCTTTCTTTTAAAACAGGGTATAAGTTGCAGTAAGTGCTAAAAATCTTAAGGAACATGATGGATTTTTCTATATATTTATACCCATGTGACTACCACCCAGATCAAGAGAACCTTTGCAGTCAGAGGACAGCAGGAGGCTTCTCTCGGCCCCTTCCCAAAGCCAGAGGATCTGACCAGGCTTCCATGCTTTTGTTTTTTGTTTTTTTTGGGGTTTTTTTGCTTCCATGCTTTTGAATTCATGTAAACAGAACCATGCAGAATGTACTGATACATGCTTTTTTGCTGTAGCATTATATACTGGGTGACTGCACACGGCATTTCATACTCTCCAAAAATAATGGCCAAAACCATCCTTGTAAAAAAAAAAAAAAAAAAATCCATCCTTGTGTAAACCAGATCTCTGATGAGGAAGTCAGTTTGACATCAATTAAACACTTCCTGGGGACACGCCCGGGGTGGCTCTGGTGACAAACAGAAGACTTGAATCCAGCAGGGAGCATGCGCAGTGGGTCCAGGAAGACTGGTGGCAGAGCCCATGTTGGAAGAGCCATGGGTGGAGGGCAGGCTCACATCGGCCCTGCCCTGGGGTCTGCCAGGCCCCGGGGGCAGCAGGCAGGTGCTCTGGACAGGTAAAAGCTCTTCACCCCTAAGTGGCCAAAGAAGCCCTAAGTGGCACCATGGTGGTGGTGGTGTGCAGAAAGGAAGGAGGGAGATTGGAACCACTCAGAACAAAACCAGTGGCCCTGGGTCACATGGCCAGACTTTATCTCCCCTAATCTTACAAGTACTTGTAGCTAGTGTTCAGTATTTCCCTGAGGCAGTGTGTCTAGTGAAAAGAAATTGCCTAAAGGCCCAGGGCTAGACAGGAAAACCCAAGGCCCCCAGATAGCGGAGACTGAAGACCTCACAGAAGCTTCTAGGCAAGAGATAAGGCTGGGGTTCTAGGGTGGAGGTGGTGAGTGGAGGAATTGCGGTGAAGAACCCAGGAAGGGAGGCTTCATGGGGTCTATGGGGTGTTTAAGGCCAAGGCTTGAGCTGGGGCCAGCTACTTCCTGCTCCCCTCCCAAGGCAGGGACTCGCCCCTTGACATGTGAGTTCCTAGCTCTTCCTCTGCGGCCCTCATCCGGGCTCCTTCATTACCTGATGTGGAGGAAATAACAGCGCCCGCTCCCCAAGGCTGTTGGGAAGATGAAAACAGGTGCGGTGTGTGGGAAGCTGAGCTTGTGCTGGAGACTTGAGCAGGACGTTTGGCTACAGCTCTCTGGAGAGGCAAGCTGGGCCCTAGTGGGGCCAAAGGCTAAGGCTGTGTCCCCAGCCCGCAGATGTGCAGTGTGGCCTTGGACCGGGTGCTCCTGCCTCTGACCTCAGCCTTCCCTTCTCCGCAGCAGGGGACCATTGACAGACTCTCCAAGGCCTTGGACCTGCAAGCCCTGGGGCTGCACACACGCAGGCCTGCTGGGGCCCGAGGGCAGGAAACCCCCAAGATGGTGGAGTGCGCTGCCTCCCAGAGCCAGGGCATGGGAGCTGGCATGGGAAAGGGGTTTCCAGCCCTGCAGATGGGTTAGGAGGTGGTGGGAGGCAGCTATGGGCCTTCTACTGTGGGTCAGGCGTGTCCCCTGCCTTATCTAGGTCAGTCCACACAGAGACCCCCAGAGGACGGCACGAACAACCTGCCTTGATGGGGGAAACTGAGGCTCAGGGAGTCACACTGCTCAGAGCCACGTGGCTGGTATGAGGCAGAGTGAGGGTCCAGATTGAGGTCCGACAGGTACTCACGTTGAGGACCAGTTGCTGCTCAAGAGACAGACAGACAGACATTCCTCAAAACCCTAGAACATTTTCTCCCCAAGCCCTAAAGTGCTCTGAGAGTTACTGGCGCTGAGGGAGGCGGAGCCGGAACTGCAGACATCCTCCTTGCTCACCTGCTGTCTGCTCCGGAGCACAACTGTGCAGTCCAAAGTCCTGCGTCCCAGTCCTGCTCCCACGTCATCACCACGTCAGGTTCCCGCTGAATGTGCTGCAAGGAATAAGCCAAGCCAAGTCGATAATTGATGTCTGAATGCATCTGGGGACTCCAGCAGTTGGAAGCAGCTTGTCTGTTAAACATTACCCTCCTAATTGTCTCTCAATTGTTGCCTTCACTCCCTACTGGGTGAAAGGAAATCGTGGGTTCTGGAGTGAAGCCCAGCTCTGCTAGTGTCTGTCTGCCAATGCTGTGTGGCCTTGGGCAGTCGCTTGGTGTCTCTGAGCCTTAGTTTATTCATTCTGAGACGTGAGGAGAAGACACCAGGGTCCACAGGCTCACTTGGAGGATTGGACTGGCACAGGCGTGCTGTCAGATGGGCAGCTATCGTTCCCTCCTCCAGCTTAGACATTCCAGCCCCGCAGTGATGAGGCGCTGGGGTATCTGTGAGTCTCGGCAAGGGAAGCTCCTCTCACCCCCCTCAATAACTCTGCCTCTCTCTGTACAGAGAAAGAGAAAGACCCCAGTTACTGGCGGAAACAAGCCCAAGCGACCCTGAAAAATGCCCTGGCGCTTCAGAAGCTCAATACCAACGTGGCCAAGAATGTCATCATGTTCCTGGGAGATGGTGAGGCATGTGGGGGAGGAGGGGCAAGGCAGGAGACAGAGGCTGTGTGGAAGAGGGTGGGCTCTGGGGCAGTGGTTTAGGAGAAGAACAATATAACCCAGCACTCCAGGAGGCTGAGGCAGGAAGATTGTGAGTTTGAGCCTAGCCTGAGTAATTCAGTGAGACCCTGTCTCAAAATGAAGAAATTAAAAATTAAAAGGGCTAGACATATAGGTCAATGTGAAGGCTTTGGGTTCAGTTCCCAGGAATGGAGAGAGAGAGAGAAAGAGAGAGAGAGAGCTGTGGACCCAAGAATCCCCTCTGCCAGTCAGCTCCTGAGTGTCAGAAGGGAGGTGGGGTGCCCAGCGACATTTTCAGGTGCTCAGTGCTCAAGCTTACCTTGGCACCACACTAGAGAGCTAGAGAGCTCTGGTGCCCAAGGACGCTGACCGAGAGCCTGAGTTCCCTATTCCCTGTTGCAGGGATGGGCGTCTCCACGGTGACAGCCGCCCGAATCCTCAAGGGTCAGCTCCACCACAACCCTGGCGAGGAGACCATGCTGGAGATGGACAAATTCCCCTTCGTGGCCCTATCCAAGGTGAGCCCAGCCCCTGGCCCCTCCTGAAGGAAAGAGCTGGCGAGGGCACCTACCAGGGCTCAAGGCCCTGGGGTCCCCTGTGAAACAAGGAGGGAAGCGGCCACCTCCCAAAATTTATGGTGAGGCTTTGAACTCACTGATTTGAACAGTCTTTTTACTGATGTGTAACATACCTGGGGAAACGGGTACATGGTACAGCCTGACCTTTCACCCGGTGCATGCGCCCGGCTCAAGCAGGTGGCTGTGGCAGCTGCCAAGGTCCCCTTGATGCCCTCCAGCTCCTTGCCTCTCCCCACCACTCCTGACCTCCACCACCATCCGTTAAGTCTGCCTGCCTCATGCTTCATAGGAACAGGCTCCTGCTAGTCACTTCCTCTCTCCCAAGGTCATAGAGTTCATCAGACTCCTGATGGGAATTGTCCAGTGCCCTGGGCGCTGGCGATGGCTGTTGTCATGGAGGGGTGCGTTGGAGTAAGCACCCTCCCGACACTGGGTCAGGGGGAGAGCAGGGACTGTGATGACTCCTGGCCCTCTGGAATTCTCAGGCTGGTGGGGAAGGGAGGTAGGCAGAGAGCGTCAGGGTTTTTACTGCAGCTTGGGGAGGGGTCCGCTGACAGGGGGCAGGCAGAGGAACCAGCACTGGGCTCTCAGTGTCACCCTTCTCAGTCCCCCCACTTCTTCAGGGATCCCCGCTTTCTCTGCCTTCCCCAGGACTCACCTGCACCCAGCCCTTGCTGGCCCCTGCAGCTCTAGACCCAGAGAGGCCCCTGCTGACCCCACCTGGCCCCACGTCTCTGCCAGAGGCTGGCTTCCTGCCTCTCCTGCTGTCCTCCATGTCCCATTCCCTGGGAGGTGGGTGGCAGCACTGGGTCCCAGGCTGGCCACCTCCTGACCCTCCTTCCTACCGGCAGACGTACAACACCAACGCGCAGGTCCCCGACAGCGCGGGCACCGCCACCGCTTACCTATGCGGAGTGAAGGCCAATGAGGGCACCGTGGGGGTGAGCGCAGCCACCGAGCGCACCCGGTGCAACACCACCCAGGGCAACGAGGTCACCTCCATCCTGAGCTGGGCCAAGGACGCTGGTGAGCCGTGAGCCGGCGCGGTGGGTGGCGGGAACAGCAGAGGCTGTGTGATCCACTGTGCCATAGGAAGAGGGCAGAAAGGGATATGCTCTGGGCTCCAGCACGGATGTGCAGGGTCTGTGACACAGTCCCAAGCCCCCCCTGCAGGAGGGAGGCTGGGGGCTGAGTTGGGCCCAGCTTAGTTCCACGGGTCTGTTCTTTTTACTAGAAAATGAACCTGAGAATGTAACCTCTCACAAGGGTTTGCTGTGAGGCAGGTAAAGCCCCCAGCCCAGGCCCAGCCCTGTGGGTGGCCAGTAAGTGTCAAGTTCTCCCGCTCCTTCCTGGCTGGGAGCTGGGAGGCCTGGCCCTGCCCCCAGGGACTTGGAGTTAAGGGACAAAGCCAAGGTGAAGGTTAAGGAACCCCTCTCCACTGGAGGTGCATTTGGAGGCACTGAGGGCTCGCACAAGAGGAGGGTCCTGAGTTCTGGACAGAGGAGACTGCAGTCCCACTGCTCACGGCCCATCTTGGGCTGCACAGAGAACCTGCTGGAGGCAGTGTCCTGGCTGCACCTCCCTTTGTACAGATGGGGAGACTGAGGAACTGGCAGGAGGCCAAGCTTCAGTGGGAACAGAGAGGAGGCGGCCGGGTGCCCCATCTGCAGGCCCGGCCAACTCTGCTCTCCGATACCTCAGGGAAATCCGTGGGCATCGTGACAACCACACGGGTGAACCACGCCACCCCCAGTGCCGCCTACGCCCACTCAGCCGACCGGGACTGGTACTCAGACAACGAGATGCCCCCGGAGGCCCTGAGCCAGGGCTGCAAGGACATCGCCTTCCAGCTCATGCACAACATCAAGGACATCGATGTGAGTGGGGTGCGGTGTGGGCACGGAGGTGGGGCTGACGGGGGCCGGAGGCTTAAGCCCAGGCTGGGCTGAGGAGAGTGGCCCGGCTGGCTCCCCACCCACCTGGGAGGGCCCAGCCCATTAGGGGATTTGTGGTTGGGGCAGGTAGGCACTGCAGGATTTCTCTGCGGTGCGGCTGTGGGGTGAACCCTCACGTGGCGGCCACCACACCCCAAGAACCAGGCGCCCGGGGATTATTCCATAAATTAGAACCTGGCCCTGCAGCTCCCACCAACACGGGGAGGTTGGGATCACACAGTGACCACCTGGGGTAAGAACCTGCCCTACACATTCACGTATGCAGAGGCAGACACATGTCCGTACACAAAACCAACAGGCCCGGAGAAGAACCCGTGTGAGCAGTGCTATGTGCAAGCACATGTGTTTGCACTTCCTAGGTTCCCATCCTTGCCCTTGCACTAGCTGCGTGACCTCGGGTCTGTTACTTGACCTCTTTGAACTGTCTCTTTCATCACCCCTCTGTGAACTGGACCTGCCCACTAAGCGTATGGCTAAAAATTAAATCAGGTAAACACTGTTGGATGTAGCGTGGAGCCTGGCTCTGATGAGTGCTTCAAAGCAGTGGCATTTGTGTGTCCTTGCCCATCGTCCTGTCCTGTCCTGCACTCTGCCCGGATGCCCGGACTGATCCCTCCTCTGCTCTTAAATGAGAACTTCCAACTTGTTTCTTTGCAGGCTTCTCTCCTACCATGGGGAGCCCGTGCAGGAGTCAGGGTGGTGCTTGATACCTTTAGCCTAGAGTCGGGGTTCAGTGAGGCTCGGAGGAAGCCCCAGGCCACAGCTCCCCAGCTCCCCACACTGGCTTCTCCTCCTCACCAAATGCACCTGCCCCCTGCCCTCCGTGAATAGCCTCCCTTGGGTTTGAGTGCCCTCTGCCCTCTCCCAAACCGTGTCTTCCCTTTCCAGGGGGTGGTGAGGCACCCCTTCCAGGATAAACGGCCCTATGGACCCACTCAGCGAGCAGATATCTGAGACAGAGCTACCCATCTGGCTTTGCCTCTTCCCAACAGGGCCCCCCATACGCCTCGGTTTCCCCACCTGTCGGCATCAGCCCCCTCCCTCCCCGTGGCAGCCGCAATGAGGTCATGGGCAGGAGAACGGCCTCGCACGGCACAGGGGGTAATTACGGCCCGCTCTCTGGAGAGCTTTGGTGGCAACTGCCTGCCACGGGGGACAGGAGTTTAAGGGGCAACTGAGCCAAGCAAAGATGTTTCAGGCACAAGGCGGCCGTCAGGGGGGGTCTCCAGGGGTCCGCGGGGAGCACAGCCCGAGAGTGAGTGAGGAGGGGAAGCATGGGAGAGCCTGTGCTCCCTGCCCTCCCCTCCTGTGCTTTCCCAGCCCTGTCTGCCCCTCCTTCCCTCCACCCCAAAGCTCCCCAGCCTCCAGGCTATACATGAAGCAAAAATTCTGGTGTCCACCCTGAAAATAAATATCTTCTAAGGAGAAAGAAAGAAAGAAAGAAAGAAAGAAAGAAAGAAAGAAAGAAAGAAAGAAAGAAAGAAAGAAAGGCAAACCCAAACCCCAAAGCCAAACAGCAAGTCTGTTATTTGGGAGTTTAATGAGGCCATGTGAAGTCTGCCGGGGTTGGAAACCATGAGGTTCCAGGCAAGAAGATTGGGGGCTTCGTGTTCCACTCTGAAAATGCCAAGGAGTCAGGTTCTGTGGGAACAGTGAGGGGGGTGGCTGGGCCCCTCCTCCTGGTTCCCCTCCCTCCCTGCCTGCCCTTGAGCTCCTCACCACCACCCTAGTGAAGGCCTTGCCTCCTGGTAGTACCCATGGTCACTATTCCGGTCAGTCAAGACACCTTCCCTGGGAAGCCGCCTGTAGGTTCTGAGGGTTCCTTGGGTTTCTGCGCGTCCTCCCACAAGGGTCTTATGGGTGGGCGCTGTGCCCCTCTGATAGATAAGGACGCTGAGGTACAGCAAGTTTACAGTGGCAAGCCCTTGGTCATCCAGCAAGAGTCAGGATCAAACCCAAGTCTAACTTCACAGTCCACAGCCGTTCCAGGTCCCATGGTCCCAGCCAGCCTGAGGCGTCTCTCCTGGGTCTTCCGCCGGCCAGGCTGCCTGGCTGTCTCTCCACCCCGAGGAACCTGGGTTCTGAGGTGGGAGACAGAGTGGGAAGTAGAGAAGAGGCCCGTGAAGTGCCAGGCCAGGCCTGAGGACCACGGATCCAAGCTGTCAGCCCGGGGCAGTGGCCTGGGCTGGCACCCACGGTGACAGGAGGACACTGGTGTGGTGATCACCACAGGCGGCGGCTGTTATGCTCTTGGCCCCCATTTTAAAAATAGTCAGGACTTCAAACATGGACTCCCAAGGAAAACAAACAGTCCCTCGTCCGTCTGCCCGCGCACGCCAGTGGCGGTGGGTAAAATTAGCCTGGCGGTGACTACACAGCCATGAGGCTGGCCCCACTGTTTGCCCAGGCGGCGGTGGCCCATCCCAGCTGGGCTGCCCCGAGTGCCTCCCTGCTGGGGCCGCTGCTCTGCACATGCTGCCTTGCACTGGGGGGCGGGAGGCCTCGTCCTGGGCCCCACATACACAGCAGGGCCCTGGTGCTGGGGTCGGACAGTCCCTCGGTTCAAGTCCTGGCTCTGCCACCTACTGGCTGTGTTCTTGGGGAAAAGAAATCACACTGTCCAACAGACTCCTTCTCTCAGCAGAGAATGAACCCAGGGCTCACCGAGCAGAGGCAGAGAGGCTGGGGCTCCAGGAGGAGCCTTTAATCTGCCCTGCGGCCCATCCATTCTGAGGGACTCCAGGAGTCCTCTGTCCTGGCCGCTGCCACTGGGCTTCTGGGCTTCTGGGAACCCTGGAATGCTCATGGCTCCTGTCCCCTTCAGGTGATCATGGGGGGTGGCCGGAAGTACATGTACCCCAAGAACAGAACCGACGTGGAGTACAAGATGGACGAGAAGTCCAGGGGCACGAGGCTGGACGGCCTGAACCTCATCGACAAATGGAAGAGCTTTAAACCAAGTAACAAGGTGCCAGTGGGGAGGGCGGGGGGCTTCAGAGGTGACCCTCTGCGTCTCGATGTTCTGTGTAACAGGGGGATCACGGTTCCCTCCATGGGTGTGGACAGGCTTCTTGTGATTGGCACATATTAGTTGACCAGCTAACACCTTCCTGAAGAGAGGGACAGAAGAGATCAGAAAGGAGAAGGAAGGGGCCCTGGAGGGGAATTCAGGGAGCCCGGGCACCTCCAGAGTTTGGCCAGGCCCAAGGCACATGGGGTGAATGAGATGTCAAGGACACAGGGGGCGTCACGTGCTCTGGTGGTGGGAAACCTGGGACCTGCATGCACCCAGCGGGGAATGCCGCCAGGGAGGGGCCCGGAAGTCCTGAGCAAGAGGGAGCAGGTGTTGGAGGAGACAGGGCTGGACAGAGACAGGTGGGCATGGCTGGACCCGGAGTGTGCGGGCCAAGGAGTGAGATGAGAAGCCCTCGGGGGTGCTGCCCCTCAGCCAGTGGAGGGGTGGGGCTGGGAGGGGAGGCTGGGGCTCTAGGAGGACCCAGGCTCTGCTCCATGGAGAAGCCTCTGGCCCTTTAAATCTGTCCTGTGGCCCAGCCTGGGACAGCTGGGGTCTGGAAATGACTGTGGTCAGGGCTGAAGACAGTGGGGAGCAGCCTGGCAGCCACTTTGATGTCACTCTGGGGTTGGGTTTCTCAGCCCCTGGGGAGGCTTCGGGGGATGAGGCTAGGCCAAGGGTGGAGGGGGCAAGGCCGGGATGGCCCCACGGGGCGGGGAGGCGTGGGACTGGGCGTCTTCCAACCCTTCCCTTCCCTGGAGTTGGCTTGGGCTGGGCCAAACCAGAGACCCTGCTCCTCACGGACTCAGTCTCTTTCCATGGAGCATGGGACCAGGGCGTCATCCTTCTTGCCCTGGACCAGGAGCCAGATCCAGACCCCCAGGAAGGGCAAAAGTGTCCACATCCTGCCAGACAGGGCCAGTCGGGTCCCAAATGGGCCCATTTCCACCTTGACCACCTAGTAGTGGCATTGTCTCTGGGCCTCAGTGTCCTCATCTGTAAACTGGGACAGCCTCATAGGACTTAAAGGAAGGACACAGACAGCCACCACAACAAACCTCCATGCTCCCTTCTCCCGCAGCAGCTGCAGGGCTGAAAACCCCAAGAGGCTGTCTTGGAGACCCCCAGTCGAAGCGTGGTGGTGCTGGCATCCCGGGCCAAGGTGGCACCTCCTTGATCAGCCCTCCTGGATAGGATCCCCAAGGCAGAGTTGGACGGTCCCCACTTGTCCCCCAGGGCCCCAGTAGGATGTCACCTCCACCAGGAAACCCTCCCTGATCCAGCTTCTGAGCTCACAGTCCTGTGGTTTCTCAGAATTCTCCTCCGCCTGTAGTATGTGTTGTACTTGCCTGTTTATTTGTCATTTCTTGAGACCAGGGATGGTAGGTCCCCAGGGAGGTATGGGGATGTTAAAGATGGGAAGGAACAGTGACCTGCCTGGACCCTGAGGCCAGCAGGGACTGCGTGTCCCCAGCGTGGCTGACCGGGCCCTTCCTCCTAGCACTCGCACTTTGTCTGGAACCGCACCGAGCTCCTGGCACTCAACCTTCACACCGTGGACTACCTCTTGGGTAAGCGTGGGGCACTTAGGGGCCGCTGTGCTCAGTTTCCAGGGAAGGGATCCAATTCTCGTAGTTCTAACGGTGAAATCTGCTAGCTGTGCAGGGCTTACCCCTTGGGCAAGCAGAGACTGATGCTAAGAGGGGCGTGGCCCTGGCATGAAGTGTGGCAGGGCACTGGACAGCTGAGGACTGTACGGTCCAGGCAGGGCTAAACTCCTGCTGGGAGCTCCTGGACTGGGGCCCAGGCAAGAGGCTCGGACCTGGAGTCAGCCCTACCGCGTACCGGGGTGAGAGCCAGCTGAGCTGCAACCTCTGCCAGGCCTGACTTGTTGCCTTCCTCCTGGGGAATGGGGAGAAGGCGAGGGGTCCCGGGCAGCCCCAGGCTCCGCTGGACACCAAGGCCGGCCTGGTCAGTGTGGTAGAAGACAGCACAAGGGCTGGGTTCCAGGAGGTGGGAGCTTCAGGCTCCACCCTGAGGCTGACTTGTGCCTGGGCCCTCGGAGAGCTCCTGGGCAGGGCGTTCAGACCCCGAAACACAACACGGTGCCCACATGCAGCCTGTTGACGTGGGCGAGGAGTAAATCACTCTCCTCATGCCTTGAGGGAGGAAACCGAGCTGGGTGAAGAGAGGAGACAAGGACCCTAAACTCTCTGCTGCTCCACCGCATGCACCACAGTGCCCTCCAAACCTCACCTGCAGCTGTGCACGCTCAGGGTGCCCCACGGAGTCCTGGTCAGAGTCCTCAGGGCCTCCGTGCTGTGCCCTGGACCCTTGCCCCCGAGATGGATTGATGGATTTGACTCAGATCCGCCACTGCTAATCTAGAAATGGTCACCTCTGGCCTCAGTCTCTACCCGTGAAATGGGCATGGCGGCCCCCCACCCTAGTGGTGGCAGTGAAGATGACAGGAATTGTGGGTAAATCTGGGCCCACAAGAGCCACCCGGATATGGTTCCTCCCTCACCCTACTGCCCCCAAGTCGGGTGAGGGGAGTTTGTGTTTTCTGAGACACCCCAGGACCCTTAGGGCTCAGCACCTCGTCCTCCTTGTGTCCCCCAGGTCTGTTTGAGCCTGGGGACATGCAGTACGAGCTGAACAGAAACAACGAGACCGACCCTTCGCTCTCTGAGATGGTGGAGGTGGCCATCAAGATCCTGAAGAAGAACCCCAAAGGCTTCTTCTTGCTGGTGGAAGGTAAGGGAGCCAGACCTGCTGAAAGGAGGCTTCTGGAGACTCAGACTTGAGGTCAGAGGATGGGATGGCTCAGCTTTCCCAGAGAACTGCTCGATTCCTTGGGGACAGTGAGTCGAGAGGAGATGCTGTGGAAACCGAGCCCACTTGCTGTTCTCCTGTGCGCGTGGAGGCGCGAGGCAGCCCTCTTCCTGCGAGATCTCTCTCCGATATCCAGCTCTGGAGGGCTGCGCAGCCCTCAGCCCCTCAGATTCCCTCCTCCGAAGGACAATCCTGCCGGCCCTGGCTTTCCACGCTCTGCCCTTCCGCATGGGCTTCCCTGTGCTGTCCCTGTCAGTGGCCGTGGAGTGAGACCTAGTTCTTGTCCTGGTGCTGCCACCCACTGGCGGTGTGACCCTGGCCTGTACATTTCTGTAAATGGAGACCCAAAATAGTCCCCTCCTCTGACAGAGCGACTGACCTCCCCAGCCCCGAGAGACATCAAGTACTTGCAACAGGGTCCAGTAAGGAAAAAATCCCCAGTATTTCTATTATTACCATTATTTTGACTACACAGTGGCTGAGACAAGAACATCGGGAAGTTCAGAGACCTGATAAGGCCTCCGGAATCTTCTCGAGTGCCAAGGGCCCTGGCCCTCTGTGGCTCCTCGGGTTGTCCTGCTGAGGCCTGAGGAGACACCCACCCACGCAGACAAGTGGACATATTTGCACAAATACCACACGTACACGCGCACCCGGGCCCCCCACCTTCCCCAGGCCAGTGGCCGCCAGCCCAGCTCGGCTGTTGTTGCTCTTGCCAAACCCTAGAATTCCCACAAGCCCAGTGGTCTCGGCCTGGCCCCGGACAGGCCTCTGAGGTCAAGGAACCCGCCAAGAACCAGCGGCGGCAGCACTAGCTCCCCCGGGAGTGGTCCTTTCTGTGAGCAGGGCCAGGCCACCCCACCAGGCCAGCTGCTCCCAAAGCCACAACAAAGGGAGGGCCCGCCCTGCCAGCCTGCCTGACCACGCTGAGGCTGAGGCTGAGGCTGAGGCTGAGGCTGAAGCTGGAGGGTGGGAGGAGGGCCTGGCGCGCAGGCCCAGGACCTCAGCATCCTCCATGTCCACCCAGGCACGGCCCCATGGATAGGTAGGGAGGCGAGAGTCGTCCCTTGGGCCACACAGCCCTTGGCCCCTAGGCCAAGCATGCAGCCAGGTCCCTGCGTGCACCCAAAGGAGGTGACATGGGGTTTAGGCTTATGGAAGACCGCATGGCCCTGAGGACTTTCACCACCTTTGAGAGCTTCGAGCCGCATACTTTCTGCTTAGAGAGGATGTGTTCAAGTTGGGGATGAAAAACATGAGCTTAAGCCTCCTTTCAGGACAAGAACTAGGTCTCACTCCCAGGGCCTTCCCACTGAGCTACACTCCCAGCCCTTTTTATTTTTTGTTTTGAAATGGACCAGGTTGGGCTCTAATCTGTGATCCTCTTGCCTCATCCTCCCAGAGTGCTGGGATTAGAGGCTTGCCACTGGGCCTGGCTGAAAGAAATGGGCTTTGCAATGAGTCACCACTGAACCCAACTCCCAGCAGACCCCACCAGCAGCACATCGCTTCCCAGCTCTCAGTCTCAGTTGCTCCGTGTGTGGATGGGGCTGCCAGGACTGTTGTGAAGAGAAACTAGACATCAGTTCGTTATGCCTGGCACGCTGTAGGGACTTGGGTGCGCTCCCCTCTCTGCCTCCTTGGTGACTGCAAGCCGCTGAAGACAGTGCTGGGGGCAGAGGGGCGACTGGAAGATCACAGTTCTTCATTCTGGTGGGTCTGCCCTCAAACGGCGGCTCTGTATCCTCCAAACTTGGGCTGTGGTCCCGCCATCACATCCACCCTCTGTAGAGCTTGAACGGTGACAGGAGCTGCCCAGGATGTGCCTGGTGCATGGTAGCTCCTGCCGGAATCGCTGTTCTTTCCCATCAGGGAAATGGTGGTCAGGTGTTGCTGTCATAGGGCATGGAGGTGCAGACTTCCCCTCCCCTCCTCACTTACGACCTCTGCCTTGGTGTTGCAAGGAGGCAGGATTGACCACGGACACCATGAGGGCAAAGCCAAGCAGGCGCTGCACGAGGCGGTGGAGATGGACCAGGCAATCGGACAGGCCGGTGCCATGACCTCTTTGAACGACACACTGACTGTGGTCACGGCTGACCATTCCCACGTCTTCACCTTCGGCGGATACACACCTCGGGGCAACTCTATCTTTGGTAGGTGGGTGGGAGATCCGGCAAGAACCGAGAGGGAGACAAAGTTGTTGGGGTGGACGAGGAGAACCAGGAGGGGGAATGGGGGCAGTTGAGTGATAGGTGGGCAGGTGGGTGGATGGCTACAGGGATGGTGGATAGAAAAATGGAGAGAGGATGGATGGATGTGTGCGGCGAGGAAGAAAGAGGGGGACGGATGGACGGAGGGATGGGTGGGAAGGGCGCAAACAGTGCAAACTGGGGGCTCATTGGTTGGAATTTAATAGGACTTGGAAGGTAGCTTCATGGAGGTGGTTTGGCGCCCCTCGAAAAGCGCCCCAGTGGTTACTAAGCCACTAATGCCAAGGAGCTCGGTCTTGGGGGCTGGCTGTGCTTCCGGTTCTCCAGCATGACCCCTGACGCTCTGTTCCTCTGTGCAGGTCTGGCCCCCATGGTGAGCGACACGGACAAGAAGCCTTTCACTGCCATCCTGTACGGCAACGGGCCTGGCTACAAGGTAGTGGATGGAGAGCGAGAAAACGTCTCCATGGTGGACTATGGTGAGATGGTCAATCCAGGGCCGGGAGGGTAGAGAGCGCCCCTTGTGGTGGGCTTAGGAACTGAGTGTAGGCTTGCCGTCAAGGTCAGGAGTCCCGGACTAAGCCAGGACCTGGAATACGTCCTGGACCCTTTGAATTGCCCTGTAACTGAGCAGCTCTGTGACCCCGGGCACCCACAAGATGAAATGGGTCTGTGAGCTTAGCACAGTACGTGACATGAGTACTTGATGTGTCCCACTGTCCTTTTTACTAGTTGTATGATATCCCAATCTATAAGCTTCCCAGTTCATCTAGTTCCATATTGTTGGACCCTTGGGGGTCCAGCGGTAAGAGCCTCCAGCTGACTCTGCTCTGCTTATCCAAACAGCCTTTATGGGGGTTCATTTTTTCTATGGAAGTTAAGGGAATGTATTTTTTGAGACAGGGTCTCACTATGCAGTTCAGGCTGGCCTTGAGCTCACTATGTAGCTCAGGCTGGCCTCAGACTTGCAATGATCCTCCTGCCTCAGCCTCCCGAGTGCTGGGATTACAGGCATGGGCCACCATGCCCAGGAAGGGAATGGATTTCTGTGTTAGAACAGACTTGGGCTCAAGTCCTGTGGCCTTGGTAAAACACTTTTCCTATACACCGAGCCTTGCTCAGCTCCTGCTTCTGTAAAGTAGGGACATTGGAGCCAGCCTAGGGGGCGGGGAGACGTCTCCTGTGCGGCACAGGGCCCTAGCAGGCACTCAGCAAGCGTTTCTTTCTCCTGGCCCACAGCTCACAACAACTACCAGGCCCAGTCTGCTGTGCCCCTGCGCCATGAGACGCATGGCGGAGAGGACGTGGCCGTCTTTGCCAAGGGCCCCATGGCGCACCTGCTGCACGGCGTCCACGAGCAGAACTACATCCCGCACATGATGGCCTACGCAGCCTGCATCGGGGCCAACCTCGACCACTGTGCTCAGGCCGGCTCTGCGGGCAGCCCTGCCCTGGCGCCCCTGCTGCTCCTGCTGGTGCTGAGTCCCTTGCATGTCCTCTTCTGAGGGCTTGGGCCCAACACCTGGGAGCCCACGACAGATGGCCGGGCTCTCTCACACCGCTGCCCGCCCTGGGCAGCCCGCACCTCAAGGGCAGGGAGGCCGAGGCCTCCAGAACCTCTGCAGCTGCCAGGAGGGGGACCCAGGAACCAAAGTCTGCTGCCTGCCTCACTCCCCTCTGGAATCCTCCACAGGCTGGCCTGATACCTGGCCTCTGGGCCTGGCTCCCTCCCCGCTGCCCTTTGGCCAACAGGATAGGTTCATCCTGGGCACTCAGAGCATAGACTGCAGGAATCCTGAAAGCATCTTATTTTTCTAGCAGATATATTTCTCCACACCCAGAAGCCTCCATGGAACATTCCAGACCTGATGGACCCTCCCATCCCCTCTCCCTCTGGAACACACTAGGCCCCACGCTCAGTCCCCCAAGCCACGCCCTGCCTGCTGTGGAGACCGCCTCTCCTCGGCCTAGGAGTCTCTTGCCCACTCCAAGGGTCCTGCGGCTCCCAGGAAGCCACCTCCTAGGCCTGGCTGCCCACCAGGGCGGCCGGGCTGGGCAGAGTGACCTGGCGGGTTACGTACGCCACAGTTCCAAACACACATGCCAGCTCCTCTCTGAGGCGACTCTCCTGTTTGGAACTAAAAAAAAAAAAAAAAAAATTCTCTTTTTGGTGTTGGTTAAAAGGGAACACAAAACATTTAAATAAAACTTTCCAAATATTTCTGAGGACAGAGCCGAGTCTTTGTGGTCAGTGAGGAAGAGACTGAAATAAGCTCATTTCTCTGAGAAGAGCTGGACTCAGGGCCCAGGGGTGCCAGGCAGGTGGGCGGGGATGCTGGGGCCTCCTGCTGGCCCAGGGGTTTTGCCACCCGCTACCTGGATGACTTGGGCAAAATGGCTTTGTGTCTTAGTCTCCTCCTGTGAGAAAAGGGGAGCAGCCCACTCCTGGGTCACTGGAGGACTAAAGAACAGTGACCCATGTGCTGAAGCCCCACAGCAGGAAGTATTTCCAAGGCCACCATCGCCCATCCTGCCTGGCACCCAAGAGGTGTACTATACGCCCAGGCCATTGGAGGCCCCTGCGCATTTCCTCCATTCCACACGCTGAGGGTGTGCCAGGCACTGTGCTAGGTCTCAAGAATTTAATGGCTGATGAGACAGACGCACCCCATGCAGCGTCCACCTCCCATAGCAATCGTGGGCTTTGCAACCCTGTTATTCACACGTGGGTACTGGACCCAGGACTGCACCTGACATTAGGGGTGCACAGTGCTCCCCCAACTTTGCTCCTCTCTGCTCATTGGAGTGATGGTCTCTCCACTGCAGTTGACCTTAACAATGAGCAGTGGTCATTTATAATATATCATTTCAGCCTCAATAGAAAATGGGCCCCCCTTCACCCACACTTATAAATAAATGAGGACACAGAGAATGTAGGAGGGGATGTAACTGTCAAGGTCCCCCAAGTTGTGGAGCAGGGATGTGAGTCCCGATTTGCCCCGTTCTAAGGCCCCCTTTAGACATCCTTTATCTATTTGACATCCTTTATCTATTTATATTCCCAAATTCCTGCCCACCATGTCCAAGCTGATACTACCCATGTTCAGCACATGGGTCACTGTTCTTTAATCCTCCAGCACTGTTCTTTAACTCATAGCACACACCAGTGGAATATGAACTAAGGAAGACAAGACGCTGTATGTCTGAAGTGGATATCTTTCAGGACTGAAAATGCAAATTGAACAGATTTCTGGTTGAGCTTCCCAGTAATCTTGGCAAAAAGGGAAGCACGGTCAAGCTGATACCGAGATGAAAAAATGAAACCACAGGACCTGGGATGTAGCTCAGTGGTAGAGCACTTGTCTAGCATTTGCAAGCCCCTGGGTTCAACCACCAGCACCACAAAGCAAAATAAAACAAAACAAAACCACATGAATACATTCTCATCAAGACAGAAACATCTCATCTTGAACTGTACAATTTTTGCCATGTCTCTGTCCTATTATTTCCTAAACAGCTCTTTAAACTCCCACGTAAGCAGGTGGTTTTTAAAAGCTCACCAGGACTGCTTGGAATAAACCTACATGTCTCAGGGACGTGTGAACCAGACGTGGTCTCTTGGGCGGGGTTTCCCCAGAGGCAGACACTGAGACAGGGGTTGGGCGCAGGTAGTTTGTAAGAGGAACCCAGAAAGCACCAGCCAGGGAGTGAGGAAGTGGAGTTTGGCAAGGGAAGGAAGCTGAGGATGGGTGAGTTATTCACCAGGTCAGCAACAGAGTTCAATCCCCCTGCAGGCCCTGGGAGACAGGATAGGAGACCCCACTGCAGAGTTATGCCCCACAATGGGCCAGGGCATGTACTTACTCTCCAACTCGCTTGTCTCACTGGTGAAGGGCTGCTCCTGGGAGAATTAACCCTTGACGTCCTCTGAGTTGTTCCTCAAATGCTTGGAAGACACAAGCCAGCATCAGTTAACCTTTGGAACTACTGATGGGGCTGGAAAGTACAGACTGAGGCAGAGAGCTGGGGTCCACACTTGGGCTTCATCACTTTGAGGTCCTGTGGACTTGGGCAAGGTCTTCAGCCTCTCAGATGTCCTCCACCCAGCCCAGCCTCCCGCACATAGTGAGTACTGAGGGCCCCATTAGGAACAAGGGAGCTCTTCCCACTGTGGGATGTGATGCCTCCTTCAAGAACCAGATGCTGACGATGCTCAGGTGCCCACAGCTCCAGAGCCTCCCTACACCTTCATCACCCAGGCTGGGCACTGGCTCACATACCCTGTGTGATGGTTGGTCTTGATGGTCAGTAGGATTGGACGGAAGGGTGCTGATTGTGTCAATGGATTAGCCCACCAATGAGTTCATAGCCACGTGGGCTACTAAGCAGTAGGATGTAACTGTTCTTGAGCTCTTCCTCACTCTTTCTGCTTCCTAGTCACAATGAACTGAGCAGGTTTGCTCCATCACACCCTTCTGCCATGCTGTTTTCCACTTGGAGCCAGCTGACCATGGACTGGGACCTCTGAAACCATAAGCCAAAAATAAACCTCTCCTCCTTGAAGTTGTAGGCATCAGGTATTTTGTCATAGCAATGCAAAGGAAACTAATGCAACCCTCCAGCCTCTCATCACTGTGTATGTTAACTGTTGCGCACTCTCAGTCCTAACCAGAGCCAGAGGTCCCGGCTCTGCCTCACAGCACCCATGGCCATAGCACTTGGCACTGTGGATGGCAGCCAGCACCCATGACACAGGGCAGGCCTGTCATTAGCCTCCTACCCCTGTAGGTCTCCTGGCTGCTAGAAATGGCCAAGGTTCCTTGCTCTTGGGTGCTTAAGTCAGGGAAGAACAAAGATGAACCAGAAACCCTCTTCTATTCACTGAGACAGCCTTGGCTCCTGTTAGAGATAAATCCAGGACCCTAGAAACCTGACACAGTAGGAATTTGTCTCTATCTCAAACATCAGGTGATGGTTGTGAACAGGAGGTTGGGACCCAGGCTCTTTCTGCCTTGTGGCTCCACCACCTTCTCTAAATGCTGGATCTCCTTTCTACTTGGCCAGTACTTCTCTGAGGATGGGCAGCAGACCTGTTTTGTAATCACTTCTTCCTGGACAAACATGGCTTCTGCTCAGAGTCCTTTGGTAAGAGCTGGCCATGTGAGCTGGCCATGGTGGCACACATTTGTAATGCCAGTACTCAGGAGGCTGAGGCAGAAGAATTGCAACTTTGAGGCCACCTGGGCTGCGTAGCATGTTCAAGGCCTGCCTGGACTACATAGTGAGACTATGTTTCCAAAAAAGAGAAAGATCACACAAAAGAGGCTTAGAAATGTAGCTTGAGGTTGGACAGCTGCTTTCACACCAACATGAGGTTCTCAGCCCTGTAAGTGACACTGGAGCCAGGTGACTCTGCAATGGGGTCACCCTGTGCATTGCAGGAAGCTGGCACCACCCCTTGCCTCTACTCACTAGATTTCTGGGGGACGAAATCCCCCCATGTACCTGCTGAGAAGCTTCACTATCCAGTAATGGAAGGGTGGGCAGCTCAGGTGACAGTTCTGTGATGCTCAGGGCACCCTCCAAACCCCTACACTCCCCAGACATCCTGCCATCTCCCCATGTTTTAAAACATCAGCGATTTTGTGGGAGATCTGGATTTCTGCAGTTTTGGAGATTTAGAAGATCTGGGTGGCAGAGGGTCCCACCTTCCTGCAGGGCAATGGCCAGCAGGAACAGAGAGATGGGAGCCCATCAGGGACACAGCTCCTCTGTTTGCCATAGCCCCTGTGTCCTGACACTAAGCCCTTCAGACATAGGTGACCTGCCTGGTTATGGTGGAGGCCAAGCTCAGGACCCCTGGGATGGCCCTGGGAAACAGAACAGAGAACAAGCCCCAGACTTGGCCCTCTAGCTTCTGTCTTGTGGCAGAGATCACCCTGCTTATGAGGAAGCATGGAGCTTCCTGTGGGGGCAGGAAGGGGGCTCCTCATCAGCTGGGGGCCCAAGATGAATGGGTATTGGGAGCGGGGAGGCAGGGAAGACAGTGAGTGAGTTGGAGCTTAACCAGAAAGAGGGGTTTAGGGAACCAGGTGCAGAGGAAAATTCAGGAGGAAGCACTGTGGGGAGAGGTGAGGCTGAGGCAGGAGGATGGTGAGTTTGAGGCCAGCCTAGGCAACTTAGCCAGACCCTGACTCAATATAAAAAGTGTTCCAAAAGGGCTGGGGATGTAGCTAAGTGGTAGAGGCCCTGGATTGGAAACTAGGACCAAAAAATGAAAGAGGAGTAGAGGCCAGGAGGGAGACCACAGCTGCTACCACAGAATTGGCAGGAAAACTGGGACCCCAGATATGACCCTGTGTGTCCCAGCTCCTGTTTGTCAAGAAGAAAGCTGGGGGGCTGGGGATTTAGCTCAGCAGCAAAGTGCCTGCCTGGCAAGCGCAAGGTCATGAGTTCGGTTCCCAGTACCAGAGAAAAACAAAACAAAACAAAACAAAACAAAAAAAAAAAAGAAGAAGAAGAAAGCTGGGCTGGCACATGAATGGACAGGTCATCAGCAAGCCAAATGCCCTGAGATGCAGAGCAGCAGGAATCTGATGCCTACTGTGTGCCATACCTCCTACTAAACTCCTTTGACGTGGCCACAAAGTGTCACCTTGACAGCGTGCTTTACACGGCATCTCTCCCAGCATCTGGCGAGGTGGACAGATGAAAAAACTCACACTTGGCGGGGAGGCATGGTAACCTGCTCCAGGCTCCATGGCCTACAAGCGACAGCTGGAAAGGGACCCAGGTCAGCCCAGCTCCCGGCCCCTGCTCTCCCCTTGGCCCTGAGTGCTCATCTGCCCACAAAAAGCAATCCCAGCCCCACCAGCCACAGACCCGCAGGCCCCCTCAGCCCCTAGCAGCCCCAAGAGAGCAGAGCTGAGTTTATAATTAGCTCAGTGGCTGAACTGAAGACCTCCCACCGCGATCCCCCCACCCGCTAGGGCCAGCAGGGAGATTAAGTTCTCAGAGGAGGATTTGGGCTCCCAGTTCCTGGGTGGCTTCCTCCTGGTCTCCCTGCGCTGCTGCTCAATCTCAGTCCCAGCCCCCTTCCTGGCTCCTCAAAGTCTGTGTGACCCTCAGGGTGAGGTGGGCATGTGAGCCACCTGCCAGCCAAGGGGGGTCAGCCAGTGCCACCTCCCTCTTGCCTGGCAGAACACTCATGGAGCTAGGTGTTTGCGTGCAG